TGCAGATTCGGAATGTAGCAACCCGTTCGTTTTGATCTCCATAGCAAATAATTCAACTGGGTGGGCTTGAACAAAGCGCTAATTCTGTTTTATCCACTTCAGGTCTTCAAGGAAACCCTTCAATTTCGCCTTTATGTCGTAAAAACTCCTCATTCTGTACAAGAAAGAGCTACATAGACATCACCAGTGTTAGTAGCACACACACGACTTAGTAATTGTGATGTAGCGCCCTTAGTACTCCTCAAGCAACCTTAATACTCTTGTAGCACCCTTGGTACTGCAGAGAAGAAACTGTTGACGTACCTGTGGAGAGCGATGTCGCTTGAGCCGAATGAAACCATGAGCCCCCATGGTGCGTCTTCCTTATTGGCAGCAGGACGGGCCCTCTTGATCAGCATCGAAGCCTCTGCTTTTTTCAAAAGAACGTCATGGGATAACAAATGAATGTTCCTTGTGGCTGTTCGCGCTGGTTTCCGTTGCAATTTTACATCTAACGGGACGAGCTTGGGATGAATTTGTCAGTCATACGCACTGGATATTGGTCAAGCACATTCGAGACCTTCTCCACGTTTGGATGATAGTTAGACCACTGAATAATTTCTGTCATCGTTGTCGTCACCTCAGAAGAAAACAAAACAAGAGCAAACTTCGGTTGTGGGGTGCTCCATCCTTGCTTCTTCTTTTTCTTGTTCGAGGTTTGGGGGCCGGGAGCTGGAGAAATTTAAGATCTCGAGCTTTGGGAAGAATGTCCGATGACACGGTAGCCTCCACAGGCAGGACTTTGGATTGGTTTGTTTTGATGTCAGATGTATCCACGTCCTCGTCGTCTGGAGAGAATTGTAGTGCAGGTTGTTCAGAAGGTTGCGCAGGCTGTGTTGGTTCTACAAACAAATTATCGGACGGCACTGTATCTTTGTCTGAAAGAGAAACGTCGTGCATCGAAATGCTCCACTTTCGAGCGAGGTCAGCTAGAGATTCAGCCTTCATGACCTGTTCTTGATCAACTTCCATTTCGGCCATCACATCTGCGTAATCGAGTTGGTTCAGGTAGCTTCCCGTATCACTATCGAAGCTATCGTCAATGGATCCACAGTCACCCCCTACTTCTTCCTCAAACACTGTCTTCCACTTGCTCATCTGCTGGTAAAAGTCAACTGTCGGTAACGCACTAAGTTTTTCAATAATTGGTTCAAACATTGCTTGTGCGCTTGCATATTTCTCAGCGTCGGATAAGACAAC